ATAACAAAGCAGATTGGAGTCATCCACACATCCAAGGGGTGCATCTATATCACAATTCCAGGATATTTCTAGAAAGAAAACTCTGTTTTTCAATAATGTGTACTATACGTGAATAGTTTCATATTGCTGATTAAGCGTTAAGATACATACTCTCGCTAACTGATCATCGACATTCGTGTAATGGTTTTAATATCCAATCAAGTGTATATGTTCTTAGTGTGTGTGAGGTGGATTCATCAAGGTTCATTTGTAGCTTCAAAATCGTAATTAGTTATATCACTGAACATTGGTCGATACGTTTATTCAGTAAACAAGGATCTGAGCAGACAGGGGCTTCGTGGAACTTCCTTCATGGAACACACGCTGCGCTGATTGGTGATATTCTAATCTATGTTGGAACTAGCACTTGCTTGGCAGATAGGTTTCGTTAATACTTGTAATCGTGTTGTCTCTTTCCTATCCTTAATCACAAGTGGCTTGAATCCCATTGACTCCTAAATGTACTTCTGGGCTTAACATTGTAAGCATGTAGACCCTCTTTTTCTGTATTCACTCAGCTAATGTTCCGTAAGGGGGGCACGGGTGGCCCAGTCGTCTAAGGCGCCGCGATTCGCTGTGCAGAGTTGCGTCCCTTGGGCACGCCAGAAACCTATGATTGTGGGTTCGAATCCCGGTTCGCCCCGATTATGTTTCTAGGATTGTCAGCACCATACCCGTGCTCGTGTGTTTCACCGAAGCGGTAAACGTCTGAGACCTGCATCACTTCGGGCTTTCCTCCCACATCAAGCTGACACGCCGTGATATAACTGGAACACTGTTAAAAGCGGCGTTAAACCCAACTCACTCTCTAATGTTCCGTAATGTTTACACGTCTCATAAGAATATGTCACTTAACCTAGTCAAAGCTAACATGTTTTTTATTATAGGTTTACGAAGTTACGCACTGTCCAATTGGTTTTTATGCACTAAAACGCGATTTGTCCATTTGAACGATATTTGGGGTCAAAAGTTTGTATGTGACTTTTCTGCTCCGTGCTCTCAAACATTATTGTAAATATAACTGATGATATTATATTTAAATCAGGATAAATGAATAAAGTCCCAGCTATATGAGTGAGTCTACATGAACATAACATGCTAACGCTAAAGCTTTATCCAGCTGATTCACGTATATGCACTAGTTACAGAAATAGTACATGCTACTGTGTATGCATAAGGGTATGAAGTATGTTCAATACTGTATTAGACCCTCCATTCACACAATACACAGATACAATTCGGCATGACTAGGCGGTAGAGTATTAAACAGTAGCAACAACAGATAAAGAGGAAAGGGAAAAGTGTATAGCCGAGAAATATATATTCTCATGACATGAAAGAACAATATACCTATATAGCCATGTTGCGTTTCTATGAATAATGAACTAATTGTGAACGGTTTAATAGAACCGCTTGTACTCGTACGGACTAATGCCGGTTTTATAATGCTAGCCCACTTCATATTCTTCATATTACGAAATTGAGATGTAGTATTTCTAAAAGCTTTCTACACCAATTTCAGATATGATGTAATTGGTTATTATGATGACAATAAAAATAGTTCTAGTCTTTGTTTTCCTCGTTCTAAATGGAAATGATGATATTTTATATATATATTACCCTTTCAAATGTTTGTATATTTTAAGTTGATAATATGAGTGAAAGGTACAGGTACCAATATTCGGTTATTGCGTTCTATACTTGTACATGTTCACCACTACTAGAACTTAATACCCTTCAGATTCAAATTAACACTATAATTATTCATAACGGCATCAAATCTGGCATTTTATATCATATATAAAGTACATTGTATAATGTATAATGTTTTATAGTGCTAGCCCGCAGTTATGTCAGTTAGAATTATGTAGGCGTGTGTTGGCGTTCATTATTGTACATGTGTAAAATCATCACCAACAATGTATTTAGAATGCAATGTGTAGACATCATTGTGCGTGAATGTATTAGATTGTTACCAGTGAAGTTAGAAGTTGTTAGCGCAATTGTTATTTGCATTTCTTGATATGCTCATATATGTTGAATAACCGTGTATGTATAGTTATTCTGAATATGCTCAATTGTGTGTTGAATAACCGTGTATGTATAGTTATTCTGAATATGCTCAATTGTGTGTTGAATAACCGTGTATGTATAGTTATTCTGAATATGCTCAATTGTGTGTTGAATAACCGTGTATGTATAGTTATTCTGAATATGCTCAATTGTGTGTTGAATAATCGTGTATGTATAGTTATTCTGACTGCTCACGTATGTGGAATAACCGTGTATGTATAGTTATTCTGACTGCTCATGTATGTGGAATAACCGTGTATGTATAGTTATTCCGACTGTGTCCACACGCCCATGTATGTGGAATAACTGATGTGAGTGTAACCACGTGTAGTCCACGTAAGTATTACCATGTATATGTGTATTCCTGATTACTGAAGGAATGGTAAAGAGTAAAGAAGTGTACACGTTGGGTGGTGTAGTGTCCGTGGACTAGAGAGCGGCATGTGCAGCGTCCGAGACAGCTGGACTGTGGTGGAAGGCTGACCAAGGAAGTGGTGACGACCGGGAACCGTCACCAGCTGAGAGAAATAGAACCAAGACTTGGCTTGTGAGTTGGATTTCTTTGTTTGTTTGATTGTTGTTTAACGCGGGGCTCAGAGGTATATTCCAGCTTTTTGACGGCGGTCTGTAAAAAATCGGGTCTGGACCAGACAATGCAGTGATTGACATTATGAGCAGTGATATTGGGATACGATGACATGCATCAACCAAGTCAGCGAGACCTGACCACCCGATCCCGTTAGTCGCCTCTTACAGCAAGCACAGTCACCATTGACATCAAGCATTCTAACCCAGATCTTCACGTGTTGTGCGAGTTGGAGATACGTCAGAACAGTAATATCATTACTGTGGAGACTTTATCCATTTCGACGGAAAACACCATTCTAGACATATTCGTCACGAAATTTGCAGTTGTTGCGAATGGCGATATTTCAGTATTATTCCCAGGGGTGCTTAACATTTTTCTTTGTGTATAGTTTGGCTCCTCAGACATTTCTTTTGTACATTCCATGTACAAAATGGCAACAGCCACAGACAGGATGAGAAAGCGAGTGAGTTAGTTGTAACGCTACTTTGATCACATTACCACAGCGGATCACTGAAGATCTTGTCTTCAGCAATACATGCTTGTCGTAAGAGACGACTAAAGGGATCGTGTAGTCAGGCTAGCTGACTTGGTTCATGCATGTCATCGTATTCCAGCTGCGCAGATCGATGCTCATGATGTCAGTCACTGGATTGTCTGGTCCAGACTCGATTATTTACAGACCGTCGTCATATAGCTTGAATATTGCTGAGTGCAGCGTTCAAAACCAACCAAACATGATTACAGCGTGACAGCTTGATGTGGATCAGATGACTGGGCCGTCATTTACCCTGAAGGATGAATGATGCTATACCCATACATTAAAAAAACACATAACAACCAAAGTATTATAAGAAATATTTTATTTCACTAGATGAGTTACGTGCATAATTTCTTTAGATAATGTCTAACTTCTGCATATCTAATAAGAATTTGTACAACTTTACCCCGCATTTCTACAACTACAGAACAAAGATGATCACCGCTAGTGGTCCACACATAATCATGTCGACAACTGCGAGTGGTCCACACACAGATAAGCATGTAGACAACTGCAAGTGGTCCACACACAGATAATCATGCAGACAACTGCAAGTGGTCCACACACACATTATCATGTAGACAACTGCAAGTGGTCCATAAACACATAATCATGTATGTCACTGCGAGTGGTCCACACAGATAATCATGTAGACAACTGCAAGTGGTCCACACACACATTATCATGTAGACAACTGCAAGTGGTCCATAAACACATAATCATGTATGTCACTGCGAGTGGTCCACACAGATAATCATGTAGACAACTGCAAGTGGTCCACACACACATTATCATGTAGACAACTGCAAGTGGTCCATAAACACATAATCATGTATGTCACTGCGAGTGGTGCACACAGATAATCATGTAGACAACTGCGAGTGGTCCACACAGATAATCATGTAGACAACTGCAAGTGGTCTATACACACATAATCATGTATGTCACTGCAAGTGGTCCACATAGACAACTGCAAGTGGTCCACACAGATAATCATGCAGACAATTGCAAGCGGTCATCACAGATAATCATGCAGACAACTGCAAGTGGTCCACACACAGATAATCATTCATGTCACTGTGAGTGGTCCACACACAGATAATCATGTAGAAACTGCAGGTTTCCACACTAAGATAATCATATAGGTCCTTGCTGCTAACCAGCGGAGAGCTCAGAACTAGACATCAAAGGCATATCTATCACACAGTTTTTTCCTGGGTATTCCAACCTAGGACAAAAGGCTGAACAGTTGGTGTGAACATGTTAGCTGCATAACTGCCTGGAATGACTTCAAAAGACTTACCTGTCACTATGGTAACAGTGTTGTCAATGGCTTTTATTACAGCGCTGATTATTCAATCACATTTGGCTTTGTCTTACTTGTAAATGGAATATATATGTATCAGATTGGTCCCATGGTAAAAACATTGTACAAAATGTGGATGTTAGTAAGTATGAGAATAGGCAGTGTTGTGACCGGATACTGGCAGTACCTACAGGTAGTGAGCGTACCTGGGGAGGAGGGGCTAGCAGTATGATTGGTGGGGTGATCAGCATGGTGGGTGGAGTTTAGGCATACAGGGAGGAGCTTGATGCATAGTTAGATTTGCACTGTGGGTGGAGCTTTTGTTTCTTTGTTTGTTTCGTTGTTTAAGGCCGCACTCAACAATATTCCAGCTATATGACGGAGGTCTGTAAATAATCGAGTCTGGACCAGACAATCCAGTGATTGACATCATGAGCATCAATCTGGGCAATTGGGATACGATGACATGCATTAACCAAGTCAGTGAGCCTGACTACACGATCCTGTTTGTCGCCTCTTATGACAAGTATAGTCGCCTTTTACGGCAAGCATGGGTAGCTGAAGACCTATTCTACCCCGGGCGGGTTGAGCTTGGTCGGCAAGGCTGATTAAATGAATTGGATATTTTGAGACATCAGACTTTAAGGTTGGCAGGATAGTGGATGTTTGTAGTGACAATAGGTCACTGTTGGAGGGCTGTGCAAAAGGTGACTGCGGGTTAGTCAATGTGAATAGGAGACCAAGTCCGTAAATGTGAGGATCGATGTTGGTCGACGACTGTGGCTCAGCGAATGTGTGCTGGTGATTCGGACAGTGAATTTGAATTGGCAACTGTGGGTCAGTGACTGGATAGGTGAATGTGGGTCGATAAATGTGGGTTGGTGAATGTGGGTGCAAAAAGGCATCAAGGTAAGACCTCCAAGCACTGTGACTTGAACACTTGAGCTGGTCTTAATCTAAGGCTGGTGATGCACCTCCCTGTGGCAGGATAGTCTTTGGAAGGAGGGGCTGAACATTCAATGCTCCTAATATACATTACAAAACAGCTGATTGGGCAGCCAGTGAGCTCACAACCGGCAGGAAGTTTTGAATTTATTGTGGTCATATACGTGGACGGATAGGCCATGGAATGATGCTTTTGTTGTACTCATGTTGTAGACTAGGACAACAAGTGAGATGACACTGGGATTTTGTGACAGATTGCTGCAAAATATTAATACTGAACACAACCAGAGACAACTGAGGGCGTTGGGGAGATGTTTATCCTGATAAATTCAGCTGGGGAAATGTGACCATGTGACTTTCTACAAGGCAATATGCAAACAGTAGGAGGCCAGGAGCTAATATAGCCAGGCCCTGCACCAATAACACTAGGTACTCATCATAAGAAGGTAATGGACAAACGTATGAAGGGCTTGAACCAATTTCACAAGGCACCCTGGTTACCAAAATAGCTGAGGGCATGCTGGCATACAAAGGAATGAAAATAACGGCCTCCTAGATCCCGTCAGGTTTCTGCTTCTAATGCTAGAAAAATGCATGAAATGTCAATATGCATATCTGATGTTATGAATGGGGATGTGCTGACATTGTCCACAGCATGCCAGTTTGGCGGTGGGAGACACATGACCTCATGCTACGCTAAGAGACAGGTAAGGCACTACAATACTTGTCACACCATTTTGATTTCTTCTTTGAAGATAAATGCTTACTGTATCACATTTGAGCAGGTACGATTATGGGTATTTGTTGTGAAAACAACAGCGCTGTGGATGAACTGCATGATGGTAAAAACTGGAAAAGGGGGAGATAACTCTGCATCAACCCTTGTACAGTGATGTCGATCTGAATATGGGTCATGAGTGTTGAGTTGATTTGCAAATGAACACTTCATGCTGGTCTACACAATAATGTGGACACAGGTTTAGCAGACATTATTGGGTTGTATGTCACAAACTTAGGCCCAGGTCAACATTAAAGCAGAACTCAAGCAGAGATGCCAACTAAAAATTGAGACACATTAGGAATATTGGGGATCATGTGGGTGTTGACAAGTTAAAGTTTTAAAAAAATAATTAGAAATCACTATTACCAAGAATAACTTTTTATGAAAATAAATCATTTTTTGCACCACCCAAATATAATTAAATTATCAACCGATTTGATGTGTGACAAAACCTGTAGTGATGTCAGTAAAAAGTTTCAATTAGTGGCAACATGTTAATCAAATTGGTGGAATTTGGTTCAAAATATCATAATGGTCAGCATCTCTGCATAAGATTCCCAACAGACACATAGGATCAATGTTGAACACATAAGCCCACGCCAGTCGTTGAAGGTCCATGCAAGACTTTCAAGGCCAAAGCCAGACGTTGAATGTCCATGCAAGACTCTCAAGGCCCAAGCAAGACGATGATGGTCCATGCAAGACTATCAAGGCCCAAGCAAGACGATGATGGTCCATGCAAGACTATCAAGGCCCAAGCAAGACGATGATGGTCCATGCAAGACTATCAAGGCCCAAGCAAGACGATGATGGTCCATGCAAGACTATCAAGGCCCAAGCAAGACGATGATGGTCCATGCAAGACTATCAAGGCCCAAGCAAGACGATGATGGTCCATGCAAGACTATCAAGGCCCAAGCAAGACGATGATGGTCCATGCAAGACTATCAAGGCCCAAGCAAGATCATGATGGTCCATGCAAGACTATCAAGGCCCAAGCAAGACGATGATGATCCATGCAAGACTATCAAGGCCCAAGCAAGATGATGATGGTCCATGCAAGACTTTCAAGGCCGAAGCCAGACGTTGAAGGTCAATGCAAGGCTCTCAAGGCCCAAGCAAGACGATGATGGTCCATGCAAGACTATCAAGGCCCAAGCAAGACGATGATGGTCCATGCAAGACTATCAAGGCCCAAGCAAGACGATGATGGTCCATGCAAGACTATCAAGGCCCAAGCAAGACGATGATGGTCCATGCAAGACTTTCAAGGCCGAAGCCAGACGTTGAAGGTCTATGCAAGACTCTCAAGGCCCAAGCAAGACGATGATGGTCCATGCAAGACTATCAAGGCCCAAGCAAGATGATGATGGTCCATGCAAGATTATCAAGGCCCAAACCAGAGGATGAATGTCCATGCAAGACTCTCAAGGTCAGATGTCAGACACTCAAAGAGTGAAATTGACACAACAATCATGTGACAGACACATCTGCACTGGTCATGTGCCGGAGGTCACTGATTCACATGATTGTGAACACAGAGCAGCAAATCGGACTAAACGTTGAAGAAGCCTGGTAAAGCTTCTCAGCCTGTGGAGTGGCTACGTGCTCTCATCCTTATCCAACTGAGAGGAACTTTCGCAGTCTCTCTTCTAGACTTTTGATTCAGAGCCTGCTTAGATGGGTTCATTAAGTACAGATAAGTACAGAAGAAGATATTTCATAGTCATACAGCTAGTTGCATTGAAAGAGAATACTCTTAACTGACATATTCATGACTCACGGAGGCAAACAAGTTTCACATAACTTTCTGTTCAAAGACACAAACTGAGGGACATGGCATAGAGAACTAAGGGAGGTAACTCTTTAGGCTCCAATGATTTACCACCAGTTGGGCCCACAACTTAAGCTCACTTATTAAAGCTCACTTTAAAAGTAAGAGATCAGTTGACTTGTTAATGCAAACCATACAAGCGTCTGCTCCAGGTTCAATCTAACAGAAAAATGTAATCCACATTCTTACAGAATATTTCATCCCAAAAGAGATTTCATTTGAGACTTTTAATGTAAGTCACCATGAATAGATTATGTCCATGGGCACGGCAGTACTTACACAATCACAATACATACACGCAACAGAAGTAACATCAACATTATTGTCAGGAGAAAGCTCCTTCAAAAATACAACATTTGGGCCCACAAGGTCCTGAAGGCCAAAATACATTATGTACGAGATTAACATCCTGTTCTACTGAGGCAGGGGCTTACTTGACTTCATGAAGCACACATTTCATTCTTTCTTCAACTGGAAAGATGGCTATTTGCAGTCAGTACAAAAAAATAATAAATATAACAAATACCTCCTGCTTGTCTCGTAATTAATTTATCTTGGCCAAAGATGGTAAGTAGAAAAGATTTGTTCTTCGAATGGTTTGTGACCTGATTGCATGGTGGACCAAACATGGCATACAAGTTATCGATGACGTGTATCAGGATGTGATGCACCAAAATACCACAAAGCATGCTAACATCCCAGCAGGATAGGAGCACTGGCTGCAGTCCACACACACACAGTCACACTAATCACACACACATCACACATCACAGAGAGAGTGGCTGCAAGATAACACCGTGCCAAAGATAGTCAACAATCTTCAAATACAGATATAGGTATAATATTACTGGTGTATTAATGTGAACACAGGCAATCAATAAAACCATTAAAAACAGGTGTAAATGTATGAAAATATCAATATTGGTCCATCTTGAATTATGAATGGCAGAAATATATGGACAAATAGTAGAATGATTTCTGGCCTTCAATATGGCTGCCACTGGTATAATCTGTATGCCGACATCAATGTTTGACACCGGTGTCTCGTCGCTGTGCAAAGCTTCAATGTACAAGCAGAAGCTTTGTTTTAAACAAAATGTAATCATTTTTCCGTTTGTTTTACCATTTATGAAACAAATCTGCAAAAAAGATCGAATCCTGAATATAAAAAAGCCATAAACGGAAATCTTGTTTTAAAAAATTGTTTTCTTCTCATACACAATCTTGCTGACATGGCCTTGGTCACCTGCTGCAGATCAGAATACAGGTGAGGGGAGACAACTCTTCTTCTCACCATCTCACTTGCTGACCGGTGTGTCTGAACGGCCATCTGTGTCAAATGATTCGTTTTCTGATGTGGACAGTGAGCTGGAAGTACGGAGACTGTCAAGGTCGTCCCGGAAGTATGGGTGACAGAGAGCTGCACTTGCACTACTTCGTCGATGTGGGTCAAATGTAAGCAGCCTCTACAAAATAAGAAATACTGCATGAGTTGGGTAGCGGCGGTAAATGATAATCACAAGGGCTCTGTAGCACCCCTGACTTGAGAAGTACTTTCATAACACTTCAACCTTATTTTGGTACAAACATCTCACTTGAGTTGGTGCCAAAGATTCTGGAATGAGTGAGTTTGATTTTACGCAGCTTTTAGCAATAATCCAGCAATATCACGGCGGGGGACACCAGAAATGGGCTTCAGAAATATAACTTCAAAGAAATTTGATGCAATAATCGGAAGAAGTGTATCTGGAACTATTATTTTATCAGGAACAATAATATTTTCCAGTTTCGTATTATTTCAGTCACCGCGTTTATTATATATATTTAAAATAGTACCGGTGGTTTGACAATCTGCATCTAGGCGAGGGTCATTTCAACTTTATTTGCAGAAATTATTAAACTTTATTCAAGGAAAAGAGATACAAATCATGTTTATGTATGGAAATAGTTATTGGAACAGTTATTTAGGACGAAATGCGAAGTTTTATTGTCAAATGCTGGGCTTGCTATCGGACGCCGGTTGATATCGCCAGTGGAAAAAAATGTGAGATCTTCGACTCCGTGTATAAGACGACCCCCCTTCTTAGCCCCCTCATTTTAGGTACGAAAAACTCGCCTTATACACAGCGATATACGGTAATAACAATTAGCATAGCACAGCTGATTGTTATTGCCGGATATTTTTCAGGTATGGAACAATTCGACCAGTCACCGTTAAGGTTTCCTGTGGTTTCGTTATTGTGAAAATGTTATGTTGACATGAAAGTTTGGATAAAATTCATAAAAAAATTACAAACATAAGTCCAGATACACATTTAACATTTTTTTATAACCAGATAGTGTAATAACAGGATTAACTTGTGTACTTCAGTCCAGATTTGTTGACATGGCATTTCCAGTGTTAAATGCTCACGGTAATGTCTGTGGGTTTGGAAAAAACATCAAAACACATTGTGAGAGTATAATGCGAACCCCCCTCCATACATCTTTTTTGATAAGACATGGGCACTGTACTCAAAAACATATTGTATACAATAAGGTGTTGTTGACACTGTATGTGTATATTCAAGATAGCTGCACCATAAATCGCAAAGAACAATGAAGAATAAAGCCTGGTTTATTTCATGATAAAACATCATCATTATTTAAATAATGTTTTTCAAGCTTCTACAATTTATTGACACCCTAAAAGAGGCTGTACAAAATGTTGATATCTCATAAAAGAGAAAAAGGACTTGTGGTTGTTGTATAGCGTACATTATAGGTAAAATGGATAGAATTATCACTAAACCGCCTGCATCAGATATGAGCGGGCCACTGTAACTTGATAATGCCCTCATATTGCTTGATGACGGGCCAATATCACGCCCGTTGTTAGGTGACGTCATAGGATAGGGATAGGTGACGTCATGTTCAATTGTGACATCATCTGGTTTGTTCTATGACGTTTCCATATTTGTAAAAGCGGGTCAGTAACATTCGTGTTAATTACAGTAAATTTTTCAAAACCGATATAGTTGTTTCTTTGATAACAAATTCAGCTATAATAACGGTAACACTATTTTTCAGGGCATTATAATTTGCAGAAGGTCTTGGTCTTTTCAACTGACCTCCTTTTGTCAGGCAGTTAATAGAAGACCTCAGGCTTCTGCAAATGATAATGCCCTGAAAAATAGCGTTACCCTTATAATAAAACACTGCAGGGAGAATCAGCCACTTGATGCTGCGCCCCTCATGGTTTATTCTCCCTGTAGTGTTTTATTGTACGACAAACAACTCCCACTCATCGTTTATTTCCGAACCAACAGGGAGTTTCTGACACTCCATCTCACCTCCAGGAGATCCTTGGCCTGATGATCAATTTCCGGAACAAACTTTTCCAGAGGCTGCGGAGCAACTGATCGGAATGACTTCCATGGCAACGAGACATGTTCTGGCCACTCTAGTTCAGATGGCAGGCCGATTGCTCTGGAAGACAAGTGAAGTGTGTAGACATTGCATGATTGGATTCTCAGTAACAAACACAGAAGCAATCCCATACATACTTTTTTTCTGAATACCGCCTCACTTTCCCTGGCTAGTATCATGTACCATTAGGGATTCACAAAATCAGGTGACATTGTCTAACATTGTCATGATACGCACCATTCTCTACAACTGTGATCAGTAGTGTTGTATTGTGTTTGAACAGCATTCCCGTTATATCACTGCATGTCAGCTTAGTGTGGGAGGAAAGCCTGAGGAGATGCAGGTCTCAGATGTTTAGTACTTTCTTGACGCCCACAAGCACGAATATCGTACTGACAAACTTAGAAATATAATCCGTGCAAACCAGGATTCGAAACCAACAATCATAGATTTCTGGCATGCCCATGGGATGCAGCTCTGCACAGCAAATTGCTGTGCCTTAGACAGGGTATGAAACTCCCAAAAATTTCAGCCAGACCACAGGACTGGCTAGCTGAAATACTTGCCAGCCCCGACCAAAACCTGCCTGCCCACTATAATCATATGTTTCTCAGGATAAGCTAACGGGATTTCTTTTTGGTTACATATTATCATTCATCTTTACATGTGAATTAATGATTATCATCGGGAAATATTTAGAATATTGTCACATATGAAATATAACCCGACCGTCGGGCAGGGGGGATTTGAAAATCTGGCAGCCCGAGTTGAAATCAACCCGTCTCGGACGGTCGGGCAGGCAGGTATTTCGAACACTGCCTTAGACTACTAGGCCATGGTGCCCCCATTTGAATCTAGAAAATCACCAAACTAACAGATTAACACAGTCAAAAGTCCTTCTGCTTTAGTGACCTATCACTTTCAGTTGGAGAAAAGACATGTCAAACATTTATATATGCAGTATGTCTACCACACAGAAAGTCCCATGATACAGCTCTAGCCACCATAAGTATAAAGTTCTCTAAGTTCTAAGCACGTCCATGTTCACCTTTGTCTAGGTACATTCTACTGACTGCAGGAGAATTTCAGAATAGGAAGCCGATGATTCTAGCTACCTGCAAACATAGTGATATATACACTTTAAGCCTCATACTAGAAACTGTCAATTACATGCATAGCTGATGTTGAAAATGTAAAGTCACTGTCACATATGGTGTGACCAATGTTTCCTGAAGTGACCCTTGACATTGAGAGGTCAACAAGAGTCATCAGAAAGACGATATATCCCCCCGGCAGCTGTCTGTAAAGTAACCACAAGTAAATGTGTATGTAATGAGTCAAGAGTTGAATGTTCCTTAAGAAGCATACATTGTTTACCAACAAAAGATCCACCATGGTGGCATCCATATAAAATGGAAAGAAAAACGTGTGTTTCTGTGTTGTTTTTTTATGCTAACAAATGACAAATTACAAGAAACAAGCGTATAGTAAACGAAGTCATCTATATCCCCCACCCATTTTAACACGTTATGGTCCCAAACCAGGTAACTGACCCAAAATTTCTCTTAGCCCATGTCAAAAAAGCTGTAATGGAAATGCTAAAATAAACATGTCTTAAACTCCTTAATATCAAATGGCACCTGTTCAGTATGTACTTTATATATGGACATGCAATGTTTGGCAAGGAAATATTTAACAGTTTATTTGTTATACTCCATAAGTGAACCCACCCTATATGAAAACTTAAATCCAACTTGTTGCCATGGTATGTGCCTGGTAGACATGCAAAGTTTTGTAAGAAAGTATTTAACAGTTTTTGAGTTACGCTCCAGGAAAACCACCCTTATAGAACCTAAGTCCAACTTGTTACCATGGAAACGTAATAAATAAAAATTTCTAAAATTCCTAAATAGCAAAAGGCACAACTTCAGTATGTGACTGATAGATATGCCAAATACACTGATTTATTTTCGAGTTCTGCCCCGGAAAAGGAAATGATTACAGACGGACGGACGGACAGACTGGCTGATCACTATATCCCCCCGCATTATATGCCGGGGGGATAACAAATGATTAATGCAATTGACACTCCACGTAACAATTTGTGTATATTAATTTCAGTCACATTCCAATCATAAAGATGGATAAGTGAGTGAGTATGGTTTTACGCCGTTTTTAGCAATATTCAAGCAATATCACGGCGGGGAACACCAGAAATGGGCTTCACACATTGTACCCATGTTGGGAATCAAACCCGGGTCTTCGGGATGACGAGCGAACACTTTAACCACTAGGCTACCTGACCGCCCCTAACAAGCAATAGAGTGCTTGGGACATACCTTTGATCAATAGACCTACACATGTACATACAGCTTTGATGGAAGATTTTCAGATGGAAAAAAACCCATTTATAACTGAAAATACACAATCCAGATCTTACTCAAATATCTTTATCAACTGGTCGACATCAGATTGGCCACAAAATAGAGGTCGTCTGTTGAAAAGTTCAGCAAATATACACCCACAGCTCCAGAGATCGACGGGCGTGGCATACTGGCCTTGTAATAGCACCTCCGGGGCACGGTACCATAGCGTCACCACCTGCCACAGAACACAGATATATATACACACACCTCTTGGACATGGTACCATAGCGTCACCACCTGCCACAGGACACAGATATATACACACACACCTCCGGGGCATGGTACCATAGCGTCACCACCTGCCACAGAACACAGATATATACATATATCCTTAACAACATTCAGGGATTTATCTAGATTATTCGTCTTATATTTCACCCAAAGCCTGCATCAAATGTCTGCAAAAATTCCCAAATGGGAATACCAAAATTTTCAATAGCTTCTTATCAAAATTATATCAAGTGGTATGGCTTTACAGCGGAGATTGGTATTTTACTGACCCCAGGCCCCGACAAATTCTAAAGAAAAAATCTGACTGTGACTTTAAGTCCAACTTTTATGTAATGTGTCTGTACATATACAAACATAGTTATTGAGCTATCAAAACTATACATGGAATTGGGATTTGGAACTTTGTATTTCTATGTCAGGTGCACACCATAATGTAAAGAGTCAAAATCAAATTGTTGCTATGGACAACAACAATTTTTTTTTCTAAAAATCCATAAATAGCAAAAGGTACCAGTCGACAACCTGGTCTTTGTGGGTGCACAGCTTCAAGAGAGAGTATGTATTAGTTCCAGAGATATGGTCTGGACAAAAACGCCTCAATGAACAGTGAGCGAGTGATTTTAACACTTAACATTATTCCAGTTATATCACGGCGTGTCAGCTTAATGTGGAAGGAAACTGAAAACTCATGAGCACGGGTATGGTGCTGACAAACCTAGAAACATAATTGGGGTGAAAAGGGATTCGAACCCACAATACTAGGTTTCTGGCGTGCCCAAGGGATGCAACCTTGCACAGCAAATTGCGGCGCCTTGACGACTGGGCCACCCCTGCCCCCCCACTATGAACAAAGTCAGAGTCAAACTTGTTGCCTTGGAAACAGGAAATTCCTAAATAGCAAAAGGCATAACTTCAGGGTCTGTTTGACATATCTGCCAAGTTTGGGTGAAAGATATTACCGCCACCTTATGAGACTCAGCCCAAATTGTTTCCATGGAAATCAAGACAAATAAAATTGCAAAAAGTTCATAAAAAGCAAAAGGCACCGCTTCAGGATCTGTTTGATTTAATCTCCCCCCCATTACATGGCAGAGGGCAAGAGGCTTTAATGTTTAGTTTTACAGTTGATGTTACCATGGTAACCATGTGCCAAATGATAAATAATAAATGATAAATCCCAAATTACTGTGAGTGTGGAACTTACATTTCGATGATAACCTAAAGGGCAAGTTCACACGGAAATGAAACTATTTTTCTTGTACTTTTTCCACATTAAAAGTGTTAACCTAGAAGTGTCAATGACAAAAATATAAAAATATCACAATTAATTAACATATTTTTCGCATTAAAACGATTTATATTTTTCACATTTACCAAGTGTTCTATTTCCACAACAAAAACACCATGGCTTATGCCCCTTGCAATATGACGTCATTGGTGCCAATTGATAAACATTATGACGTCATCATGCTTTGTTAGAGCCGCTTCACGTGGTGTAGGTCCAGGTGTGTGATTCTAGCGTCTCAGATGCCAGCCAGCATAGTGTTATGCTGAGTCACCACTGCGCCGGAGTGTGTCGTAGGCCATGGTGTTTTACCGCAAACTGGTACTTGATATCTTTTGCGTTGAGAATAGACAGGGACCCAGTTGAATTGGCACCAATTACGTCATAATCTAAGGGGGATAACTCAGGCCGGTTTAGCTCGAAAAACGAAGGCCTCATAATGGCATATCATTTTTACACTATTGTGAGCTTCCTACGTTCACTGTGAAAAAAATGAGTGTATATTTTCAAACACAGATACTAATTAATTCTAAAATTACGTTTTGTTTAGAAAAAGAAAGAAAGTGATTTTTGCGTGTACACTTCCCCTTTAAGCATTAAATCGCTGGTGTAATTGCAGCATAAAGTTAGTTTCAGAAATAATTGTTGAGTTTTTATATTCTCTATTATTATGCCTAAATACATCTAAATATTCTGTTTGCAAGATAACAAAACCGTACTGTTGATATTATATATGATAATTACCACAGATGTCAGCGCCATCTGGAAACTGTAGATCCGGGCGAGACCAAAGTCTGCCAACTTGAGTTGACCTTGACTTGTGATGAGGACATTTTGTGGCTTGAGATCTCGATGGACAATACGATGGGCATGCAGAAAGTCTACACCACTCAGCAGCTGATGCATCAAATCCTGAAAAGAGGAAGACACTGTCTGTCTTAGATGTGTTACACCAACATCTAACAAGGGAGACAACCAACATGTAACAAAGGAGACAACCATCAGGTGACAAGGGAGACAACCAACATATAACAAGGGAGACAACCATCAGGTGACAAGGGAGACAACCAACATGTAACAAGGGAGACAACCATCAGGTAGTTGGTTGGTTGGTTTGTTGTTTAATGCCGCACTATTCCAGCTATATGACGGTGGTCTGTAAATAATCTGGTCAATAGTCTGGACCAGACAATCCAGTGATTGATATCATGAACATCGATCCACGCAATTGGGATCGATGACATGTATCAACCAAGTCAGCGAGTCGCCTTTTACGACAAGCATAGTCGCCTTTTACGGCAAGCATGGGTTGCTGAAGACCTATTCTACCCCGGAATCTTCACGGGTCCAACCATCAGGTAACAAGGGAGACAACCATCAGGTAACAAGGGAGACAACCATCAGGTAACAAGGGAGACAACAAACATCAAACAAGGGAGACAACCAACATCTAACAAGGGAGACAACAAACATTAAGCTCAGCGTGTGACAACTTTGTTACCTTCCAAGTATCATCAAGCCTGTTACAAGAATCTGGAAAATGTTCCCATCAACCCAAGACGTAGTGACATATACATTTTGTGTAGTCTTTGGGAATGCCATTCTAGTCGATTAAGAAAAGGTTGAGGTGATTTACTGTTCCCAGAGGTACGAGGGGTGTTCATTAAAGATTTTCCCCTAAACCACTTAGGGTTATCATATTTGGTTGAAATTTCACATGTGTAATGATACATGTATCTATGGGTTATGTCTGAATTTGCAGCACCGAACTATTAATCTTACAACTTTTACAGGTGTTATGATTGAGTAGGGTGTGACAATGGAGCCAGTAGAATACCGAGCAGTGATTAGGTTTTTATATTTGAAAGGTCGCACACCAAAAGAAACTTTGGATGAAATGAAAGCAACTTATGGGGGAAGATGCCCCATCATATGACGTTGTTAAACACTGGCATCGCCAGTTCAAGTGTGGTCGGACATCTGTGGAAACAGCTGCCATTCCTGGTCGCCCCCATTCAGCCATTGATGAGGACACTATCCATCAAGTGGAGACCGCCATTTTGGCAGACCGACGTATAACTGTTCGCCAGTTAGCACAAGATGTCAAGATCAGTGTAGGGTCTGTGGAAAAAATCATCCTTGACAATTTGAACATGCATAAGGTGTCTGCACGATGGATTCCCAGGTTGCTCCTTTCCAAAAGCAGGAACGAGTCAATTGCTCAAAGGATCTTTTGGACATGTGCCAAAAAAACCAGGCAAACTTTTTTGACAGACTTATCACACAGGATGAAACATGGGTCCATCACTATGATCCTGAGATGCAGTGGAAGCATGTGGAGTCACCAGCCCCAAAGAAGGCACGTGTCCAACCCTCTGCAGGCAAGGTCATGCTCACAGTGTTTTGGGACCAGCACGGAGTAGTGATGATGGATTTCTTGGCAAAGGGTACCACAATGACAGGAGCTTATTATGCTTCACTGCTGCGGAAATTGCGGGACGCTATCAAGCTTAAGAGGCTTGGCATGCTGACCAAGGGTGTCCGTCTCCTGCAAGACATGCTCCAGTACACAACTCTCATGTTGCCCAGACAGAAGCGCGGTCCTGTGGCTATGAAATCCTTCCACATCCTCCTTACTCTCCTGACCTTGCACCATCTGACTTCCACCTCTTTCCAACCATGAAGTCATTTTTGAAGGGAAAACGTTTCACAGATGATGAAACACTGATTTCTGAAGTCAAGTCCTGGCTTGAGATGCAAAATGAGGGCTTTTACAAGCGAGGTCTCCATAGTTGCAGAAAACGTTGGGAGAAGTGTGTAACTCTTGGTGGTTCCTATGTGGAGAAAGACTAATACCTATGCCAAGTTTCATTTGAAAAGGTCCATCGGAGGTGGGTCAGGGGAAATCTTTAATGAACACCCCTCGTATATACGTTTGCTTGCTTAATCAGATTGATTTGAGATTGCAAACTTGCAGAAAATGCACTCAACCATTCCCACCCCACTAAACTGATTATAAGCCCTGCAAAAATTTGCATAAGTATCAAAATTATAAATGTCTGACAGAGTGTTGCTGACATCCAAAAGTAAAACAAAAAATGAAATGGTCTTTTCTGCATGGTTTGAGATTGATTTGTGTGCAAAGAATGAGGTACTGCAAATATTTGGTGCAAAAATTCACAAAAACACAACCTCGTGAGAGCCTGGTGCCAAAAAAACCAACATGTCATGCGCATGCAACATCACTCGTTGGGCTATAAAAACATTGGGTTCTCATTTGCGTGCCATCTCAATCTTACATCAAGTGAACATTGAAAACTATCTACCAGCACAACAATGCCATCGGCTGAATGCAAACAGGAGAATCATCTTCAGCTGTAGCAAGGTAATTCAACGTAGCACCAAGCACCATCACAAGACTGTGGAGCCGTTATCAGACACACGGGACAACATGTGACCTTTCCAGATCCGGTCGACCATGTATCACAACTACGGCACAGGACAGATTCATACGATTTTGTCACTTACATGTAGGAACCACAACAGCCACCTCTACAACTGCGGCAATGCCAGGATTGTGTAGGATATCAGCCCAGACAGAGAGGTACCATTTACATGCTGAAGATATTAACGATAGACAACAAGTTCGAGGTGTCATTTTGACAGACCTGCATCATTGGCTGCATCAGTTGTGTCAAGGTCACAGAATATGGCCACAACAGAGATGGAAACAACTTTGGTTTTGTGATGAGTCATGTTTTATTCTTCGTGTTTCCAGGTGTCGCAGGGAACGTTATGCATGAAACTGCAAACAGGAAGTGGATGGATTTCCTGATGGTAGTGTGATAATGTGGGCAGCCATCTCCTACACTGGTAAAACAGGCTTGGGGCACGTTCTGGGGAACATGACGTCACAACATGACACTGATGACATTCTTCAGATTCGTCATGTCCTTCCCATTATGCAAGAGAACGTCATTTTCCAACAAGACAACGACCACACACGGCAAGACTGACAACAGCCTTGTTCAGGAATCACAACATCCAAGTCGTCCATATCTAAACCCATTCAAACATTTATGGGATGCACTGGATCAACGGCTGCAACAACCACAGGACCTCTGACAGTTGGCACAAGCACTGCAGGCAGAGTGGGTCAACATTCCCAAGGCCACAATTTGGGTTCTGATTCCTTCCATGGGACGATGATGCCCATCAGTTTAAGACTCTAATGGTTAGCCATACAAGATATTGAGAACAGATGACATCCACCAAGAAAATCTACTGTTCCATGTGTGCCACATGGAACCTGGGTCAATGACAATGATGTGCGCCACTTTGAACAATCGATTACCATCTGTTGATTATTTATATGATATATAAAATATACATATAAAAATCACTTTTGCGCGTTTTTTTTGCAGAGTTTATTACATTGAAATAAAATAGAAACTAGAGTATTTGATGTAATGATAGTCGAAATATAATTGTCGGTCATTTGCGAGTTCAAGTTCATGCATGGATGTTGCCTCCAAGTATAGTGGGAAGCGGTGATGTTGAAGAGAGCTCTGCAAACGGGCTACCGCAGAGAGTAGCTTGAACCAACGTGTAACAAGTATTTTGCCAGGGAACCATATTGCAAAGAGTCGCCCGGTCACTGGCCCAAGACTTATAGAGTCATAAATGATCCAAACCATATCTCAAGCCAACATGACACTACAGCCAACGAGTTATAATCATGATAATCAACGAGTTATCATCAATGAGGTGGCAACCTATTGGGACCACTGTGTGACATGATCAGGGTACATTGACACATTAAACCATCCCAGTCACATCTAAGAAAAAACGTCAATCAAGCCATTGTTGATATAGGACACCAGTCCAGTCACAACTGACTGTGACAACATAATTCAACATTAAAGGCAGGCCTGGTGTCCTGGTTTTCAGGCATTCTGAAGTCTGATTGGTTGATGGTAAGGTGCACGTGCACTTCAGAGGGTCAATAAGCTATCAGAAGCCAGATCTCAAGTGTGACCATGACAAGCATGACCAGACAATTACCAGGAATCGTGATGTATCGTTTAGTGTCAGTATCAGGATAACAGTACACGACTCTAGCCAGACATGGGCGTCTCAATGACTTGCTCCTTGTTGCACAATACTTCAGGCAGTGTCAGGATAGGAGCAGACGACTCTAGGACAGAAGTACACGACTCTAGCCAGACATGGGCGTCTCAATGACCTGCTCCTTGTTGCACCATACTTCAGGCAGTGTCAGGATAGGAGCAGACGACTCTAGGACAGGAGTACACGACTCTAGCCAGACATGGGCGTCTCAATTACCTGCTCCTTGTTGCACCATACTTCAGGCAGTGTCAGGATAGGAGTACACGTCTCTAGGACAGGAGTACACGACTATAGGATAGGAGTACACGACTCTAGGATAGGAGTACACGTCTCTAGGATAGGAGTACACGACTCTAGGATAGGAGTACACGACTCTAGGATAGGAGTACACGACTCTAGGATAGGAGTACACGATTCTAGCCAGACATGGCCGTCTCAATGACCTTCTCCTTGTTGCATCATATTCAGGCAGTGTCAGGGAGTTGGGTTTTATGCTTCAATTAACGATATTGGTTGCAATATTAGTGATATACACTAGGAGTCCATTCCATTCATCTGAACACGGCACTGGGAACAGTAGGGGCTAAAAGGGTTTCACTGTAGATGCAAGCTTAGCCGAGGGCCTGGATGAGAGAACCAGTCTATTTGACTCAGGCCTGGTAAACTTTCAGCTGTACAAATACAATCATCTGAAAATCAGCTCTATCTAATGAAAAAAAGAAAATAATTTTCCTTACAGTTGAACAGAATCCGAAAAATTAACTTGGGACAGAAATACACCATACATGTTACTAACATTGTCTGGGGAAGGACAAACTTTAATTATATCTTCTGACATTATAAGATAAGTCTTTTTCCAGTTATTTTTGAGTAAATATATATAATATGTAGCAAGTCAAACACGTCCAATATTAAGAAAAACACCACAAAATGGCAAAACCACCACTAACACCAAACACCATTTGGCTGACCAGACATTCTCCGACCATCTCCCCACAAACATGTGCTTGTACTGCAACTGTGTCAGCAAGTTCTGTCACCTACCCGTATCCGGTCAGGCCCCAGCCCCGGGGAGGGGCAACGCTCCAAGTAGGTTGCAAGGTCCTGGTCGATGTACTCAAACACCAGCGTCAGCCGAATCTCGCTGTCCGTGACCGGAGTGTGACGCACGTCCAGAAGCCTGACAAGTTGACAAAACATCCATCTCATAAATGTCAAACACACAGTATGGCAAACATACACTGTCCAACATTGGTAAACATTTCTCTACTCCATAAGTACAATTAATATTTGCTATATTGCTGAAAATGTGATGGTAATTTACGGTTTTAATGCCACTCTTAGCAACCCTGGGTGTTCATCGTGATCATTGAAGAGCTTTAGCAAAGACATCTGTCACCAATGATTTACAACAGATTTTGAAAATGCTATGAAATACCAGGCGACCCTACTAACCAGCTGCAAACATGGTAAAAAGATACTTGTTCCACAGCATATCCTTTCCCGAATTTGGGTAATCTGGAGGGTATTTTTATGAAGTGCAGATATTTACAGCATAAAATAACAGATACCTTTGCTTACAGATGCTTACAGAAGTCTCATGTAACATAATATACAAAGAGTCTGAAATGCTGATCATGGAACCAAACTTCACGACGAAGATTCAAATACCTCACTTTTGTGGGTTTACCAAAATGTTTGAGTACAATTATCCATTTACTGATAGGTCATTAGTTAAGGGTTCAAAGGAACACTCCAAAATAACCATAATTAATTTTCACTGAAAATTATATTCAGCATTAACGGCAATTGATATATTAAGCTGTAGTTGAACATGAGTTTTGAACCTGACCAAGGTGCATAAATGATTAATAGATAATAGGTGGCGCTGATTTTCAACTCTTATCTTACGTACAGGGGCTAAGAGCATATTTTGACATCTTAAGCTATTGAAGGGTCCCCCATACAGTTAAGGATGATACAAATGAAGGTCTCCTTTTTAAATCTAAAACTAATAATTTGCAAACCCCGGTTGTTTCAGACCACATGTTTGTGACTGTACTAGTGATAACAATATTTGAGCCATGGTAATTAATGCAGGAGCAGGTAAACACTGACCAAATTTTCATTAATTCAATCATTGTGTGTGTGTTCATGGTCACAATTGTATCGCCCGATCACAGCCAGTTTTCAGTAGCTGCACATGCAAATCAGAATATGGACACATGGTCTTATACCAACTCACAGGAAACACCTGTGACAATGTGTGAAGTTTTAAGTGTTAAAAATGGAGGTAGAGCTATTGGGATGCTCCAACCTGGCAATAGTCAAAGTCAGGTGGCAGCACATTAAAACTAGTGGTGGGACGATGCACCACTGCATCGGTGGGACGATGCACACTGCATCGGTGGGACGATGCACCACTGCATCGGTGGGACGATGCACACTGCATCGGTGGGACGATGCACACTGCATCGGTGGGACGATGCACCACTGCATCGGTGGGACGATGCACACTGCATCGGTGGGACGATGCACACTGCATCGGTGGGACGATGCACCACTGCATCGGTGGGACGATGCACACTGCATCGGTGGGACGATGCACACTGCATCGGTGGGACGATGCACACTGCATCGGTGGATTGCGATAATTCACACCTCTATACAAGTATCGATCACAGTGGCACACTAACTAAAAAGTATTGATTCTTACCTTAAATGTATTCTTTAATAAATACACTAACAAATAGTGAAAAATGTAATATTTTTAGCCATTGAGCCATCCTGGACACTGCCAACTGTAAATCATCAGTGTGCCAGGTATTTGAACATCCTGTCTATGAAAAATATGGGTTACGCACTACAGATACGAGCACATACAAGTATTGTGATATGTATCGGATCGTGAGCATGGTATCGTGATACGTATCGGATCGCACAGAGTCACTCAGAGTGTGATTGGGAGGCTTTAGCAGCAGCAGCAGCATCGGGCCACTGGAACAGTTGCCTATGCTGGAAGACCAGGTCGTCCTGGGGTCACCACACCGAGGCAGGAGGGTACCTGGTGAACATTGCCCGACGTGATTGATTTCTGACGTCACGTCAGACAAGTGACAAACACTTTACCACCAAATATATCCGCATTAGCAAGACCACCGTACGAAGCAGATTGCTTTCTGCTGGTCTCCGTTCTGGACGTCCAGCAGGCCAGTAAATCTCACTTAACGATGCTATAGAGACGAGATACTGGCCCCAATTGTGGTACCATTCGAGGACCATGCGGCGCTACAGAGGTGACCTGATCCTGCTGATGATAAACCCACGTCCTCATCACGGTAACGTGGTCAACGCCTTAAATCATCAACAAGGAATACGCAGGATGGAGTGGTCAGCTTGCTATCCTAACTATAGCCCAATTGAAAATGTCTGGGATCAACTAGGGTGCCTTGTTTGGAGGAGTCACCCTGTTCCACATGATCTTGGGACTCTGCAAGAAGCTCTGCTCCGGGAGTGGAACGCCATATTGCAGGCTGTGATTATGAGCTTGGTCGGGAGCATGTGGACATGGTTCACAGAGGGAATCGGAAGAAGGGGAGGTAACACCAGATTCTGACATGTCCTGAGTGTTGCAGCAGTGTATGTGGACATGATGCTGCAAGGTACCACTGAACTGTTTCAATCACCAGAGACGTATTGCCTGCATCTCTTTCTTTTGTAATAAATACAATACATTCAGTTTCAGTATATATGTCCTCATTATTTATATAAATTAGTTTTCAACCCCATATTACATCGGCAACCCATCAATAGTTGCTTTGAATATATGTATATAATCCAACATCAGGGAGATAAGCGACGACCATTTGATATTCTGAGTGAGTGGCTGGGATGAATGGAGACTAGATATTTTTTCATCTTCATCTGACAAACCATATATTATTTCAAAGAAAACTATGAGCCTGTACTTTATTTTTTTAAGCAAATTTTTTTTCAACAATATTATTTACGACAGACAATTATTTTTAACAATTTGAAGCATATCTATTTTTTAAAGCATTTTTTGGGACAATTTTTTTTCGATAAAATCCCAGGCCTCCCACCAGAATATCAAATGCTTTGTCCCTAACCATGTGTCCAACAGCTCCTCAGCTCAACTGGGATTAATGGATTATACAACATAACTAGATTTGGGGGAAAGACAACTCCAGACTGTCACAGGCTTGTGCTACAAATCATTAGATCGGACTAACCACCCGAGACTACTTCGAGTAGAGCACCGTTTCATTTCGTTATCTAGCCAGCACAATGTCCAACATACCACACCTGACAACCACATACCATAGTCACTATAAATAGCCTCATTATGTGGCAGGCTATTGACTTTGTTTACATCAAGTGGGATCGAACATTGCCATGTCTTCAATAGGCCGTCACACCTCAATGCCTCCTGATCACGGTCAATGGCAGCACCCTGATCACAGTCACTGGAAGTAGATGTGTGTCCTACTGTAGTGTTGTGGCAGGACCTCTACTATGATATAGTGGCTAAACCCTGTCTCTGGTAGTGGTAGTAGATGTGTGTCCTACTGTAGTGTTGTGGCAGGACCTCTACTATGATATAGTGGCTAAACCCTGTCTCTGGTAGTGGTAGTAGATGTGTGTCCTACTGTAGTGTTGTGGCAGGACCTCTACTATGATACAGTGGCTAAACCCTGTCTCTGGTAGTGGTAGTAGATATGTGTGTCTAACTGAAGTGTTGTGGCAGGACCTCTACTATGATAGAGTGGCTAAACCCTGTCTCTGGTAGTGGAAGTAGATATGTGTGTCTAACTATAGTGTTGTGGCAGGATCTCTACTATGATATAGTGGCTAAACCCTGTCTCTGGTAGTGGTAGTAGATATGTGTGTGTAACTGTAGTGTTGTGGGTGGATCTCTACTATGATATAGTGGCTAAACCCTGTCTCTGGTAGTGGAAGTAGATGTGTGTCCTCCTGTAGTGTTGTGGCAGGACCTCTACTATGATATAGTGGCTAAACCCTGTCTCTGGTAGTTGAAGTAGATGTGTGTCCTACTGTAGTGTTGTGGCAGTACCTCTACTATGATATAGTGGCTAAACCCTGTCTCTGGTAGTGGTTGTAGATGTGTGTCCTACTGTAGTGTTGTGGCAGGAACTCTACTATGATATAGTGGCTAAACCCTGTCTCTGGTAGTGGAAGTAGATGTGTGTCCTACTGTACTGTTGTGGCAGAACCTCTACTATGATATAGTGGCTAGACCCTGTCTCTGGTAGTGGAAGTAGATGTGTGTCCTACTGTAGTGTTGTGGCAGGACCTCTACTATGATAGAGTGGCTAAACCCTGTCTCTGGTAGTGGTAGTAGATGTGTGTCATACTTTAGTGTTGTGGCAGGACATCTACTATGATATAGTGGCTAGACCCTGTCTCTGGTAGTGGTAGTAGATGTGTGTGTGTCCTACTGTAGTGTTGTGTCAGGACCTCTACTATGATATAGTGGCTAAACCCTGTCTCTGGTAGTGGTAGTAGATGTGTGTCCTACTGTAGTGTTGTGGCAGGGCCTCTACTATGATATAGTGGCTAAACCCTGTCTCTGGTAGTGGAAGTAGATGTGTGTCCTACTGTAGTGTTGTGGCAGAACCTCTACTATGATATAGTGGCTAGACCCTGTCTCTGGTAGTGGAAGTAGATGTGTGTCCTACTGTAGTGTTGTGGCAGGACCTCTACTATGATAGAGTGGCTAAACCCTGTCTCTGGTAGTGGTAGTAGATGTGTGTCATACTTTAGTGTTGTGGCAGGACATCTACTATGATATAGTGGCTAAACCCTGTCTCTGGTAGTGGTAGTAGATGTGTGTGTGTCCTACTGTAGTGTTGTGTCAGGACCTCTACTATGATATAGTGGCTAAACCCTGTCTCTGGTAGTGGTAGTAGATGTGTGTCCTACTGTAGTGTTGTGGCAGGGCCTCTACTATGATATAGTGGCTAAACCCTGTCTCTGGTAGTGGAAGTAGATGTGTGTCCTACTGTAGTGTTGTGGCAGGACATCTACTATGATATAGTGGCTAGACCCTGTCTCTGGTAGTGGAAGTAGATGTGTGTCCCACTGTAGTGTTGTGGCAGGACCTCTACTATGATAGAGTGGCTAAACCCTCCTCTGGTA